GGACAGAGTTTCAATTGGGGAAGATAAAAAGAGTTCTGGAGATGGGTGGTGGGGATGGCTACACAATGTGAATGTACTTAATGCCACTGAACCGGGCACCTAAAAGTCATTAAGATGATAATTTTCGGTTATATTTTACCATAATTTTTAAAAAATTAAAAACAAACAAAAACATAGATCCCATCTTGACTTTCACTAAATCTGCTCCACGCTTGGGCACCATGAGACAGTGGCCTTGAGTTTGCTTCTCTAAGTGTCAGGCTTGGACATTCGGCGCTTCTCAATAACTCTGCTTTCCGTCAAACCCTTGCTCTTTTTGTTTCTCTATCTGCCCCCCTCCCCATCTCACCCTGCCAGCAAAGGGAGAACCATGGCAGAGATGGAGATGGTGACTGAGGGACCCAGAGGCAGCAGTTCACAGGAGCAAGTTAGGACAGAATGAAGAGCTGGGACCAGTCCTGACGACCTGGATGAGGCTGAAGTGAGCGTTAGGAACAAGTCAGTCCTCTCCAGACTGTGGTCAGCCCTAGATGGTGCCCCTAAAATGTCAGGGGCCAAGAACTACTACCGTGCAGTCTTACTTTAGTTAGAACGATTCTTTAGTGGCCTCAGTGTCAGCTTGCCCATGCCAGTCTCCTGTGGGCCACTGACTTTTTCTCGCTCAACTTCCATTCCATCTAAGCACTGCAGCTGGCTGCCTTCTGGGCCTTGCCCCTCACTTGCGGGTTTTTTACTTTAGCCAAAGCATAACTCTGCCATGCCTGCAGGTCCTCAAAGGAACTTCTAGAGATGGATTTGGCTTCCAAGACAGAGGAAGGGTCAGAAATAAGTGCAGAAACAAATGCCTATCAACAGGCCTCACCTGGATCCTGCCAGGGACGAGGTTGTCTGAGGTGGTGAATATGAGCTGCTTGGCACTGGAGGTCTCCGGGGAAGCCAGGATCACCTTCCCAGTTCCAGCTCCATCTGGGCTGGTCAGGATGAACTGCTGCTTGGGGGATCCGGAGGCGTCCACTGCGGTGACTATCTGGATCTTCTGTCCTGTCTGCTGGTCTGTCACAATCTACAAGACACAACATGGAGGCTGCTCTCACGGAGCATCATGCGACTTGTGTACTTGCAGGTGGTGCTCAAAGCGGTGACTGCCCAATGCCGTCCTGGAGTCAATGCTGGTCCAAGATGCAGTTTCACCAGTGCATGGTGAAATGAGAAAAACAAAACACAACCATGAGTTTTTTCAGAAACCAATGATCATAGAGCTAATTTTATTTTGGGATGATATCCTTCCTGTTTTTCATTAAAATGCCCTTTAGGGTGTGCGTGGGGTGGGTACTGGATGAAGAGTGTCAAAAGATACAAACTTCCAGTTGTAAGATAAATAAGTAGTGGGGATGTGATGTACAGCATGGTGACTGTAGCTAACTCTGCCATATGATGTATTTGAAAGTTGTTAAGAAGGTAGATCCTATGAGTTCCCATTACAAGGAATAAACCATATTTTCTTTCTTTTTCTGTATCTGTATGAGACGATGGATGCTAACTAAACTTACAGGGGTCATCAGTTCATAATACATGTAAGGCAAAGCATTATGATGTATACTGTAAACTTACACAGCGCTGTGTGTCCATTATAATCTCAATAAAACTGGAAAAAGAAAAGCTCTTTCTTTTATGAAATGGAGATAATAATAGTAGATGATAGGTTTAACTAAAAAAAAGAAAAAAAAATCCTTGGGGCGTCTGGGTGGCTCAGTCGGTTAAGCATCCGACTTCAGTTCAGGTCATGATCTCATGATTCCTGAGTTCGAGCCCTAAGTCAGGCTCTGTGCTGATAGCTCAGAGCCTGGAGACTGCTTCAGATTCTGTGTTTCCCTCTTTCTCTGCCCCTTCCCTGCTCGCATTCTGTCTCTCTCTTGCTCTCTCAAAAATAAATAAACATTAAAAAAAAAAATCCTTGTCCTGGACATAATAAACTCCAGAGAAATCCTGATCCTGATTTCTCCAGAGGCTACTACCATTCAGGGGGCCAGCTGTCAGAGCCTGCCTCTTCCCAGAGCCCCTGCCTTAACTGCATCAGTTACGATAAAAATAGTTGCTACAGCAAGAGTGACTTCTCATTCCTGCTCATGAAATTTTCCGAAGCTGTTCTACTCCCTGTCCTGCCTTCTTCTAGGCCGAGTGCCCAGCTTGGAGCACTGCCCACCTTCTCCTTGGGGACAGCAGGAGGGCCTCACAGCAAACAGGATTCTTGGGGCTGTTGTGGCTGGGCCTTGGACAAGCGGAGATGTACTACATCTCTGACTAGAACTCAGTTCCCTATACCGTATTTATTGCCAGGTCTGGTATCCACATCTTGATAGATGTTGCCTTGTGACACATCATTCCAAGGTTCAGACAGCAAACTTCTACAGAATCTAGCACAACACCTTTACCAACTATCCCATATGAAAAATTAGATAAGGTTGGTTGGTTCAAAAGCAAATGACATAGGTAAGAAAAGATCCAATTACCTAATATATGTTTACTAGGTGTTCACTATGTGGCAAGCACTATTCTCGGTACTAGGGATAGGGACACGAATACTACAGAGCTCCTATCTCGTGGGGTTAACCTTCTAGAAGGGAAACAGACTATGAACACTGATATTGTGGAGCATCAGTCTTGGTAGGTGCCTTGAAGAAAACTAAAAAGCAGAGTAAGTGGACAAATCATGTCAAGGGAAAGGAGGCGGGGGAGCCATGTTAGAAGGAAAGATCTCTCTGATGGAGTGATGTTGAGCAAACACCTGATGAAGCAAGAGAGGAAGCCATACATAAATGTGGCAAAGTATGTTATAGGCTGAGGGCACACAGCAAGTTCAAGACCAGAAAGAAGAGCAGACTGGGAACAGGATACAAGAACAAATCCTTAGCTGATGGCTGGGCATGAATCCTGGCATATCATCATTTCCAACTAACGTGTCAAAAGATCTTTAAGGATAAAGAAGGAAGATTTCAAAGAATGAAAGGAAGTACCTTTCACTGTTACACAGGCAGATTCCTGTGGCATACATACCGAGACTCCCCTGGAAAAGTAAAACATGAGACAGAAAACTTTGTAAGAAGAATTCTTTAAAAAAACAAAACAAAAACCTTTCCTACCCAATGAGGAACTGAAAGACCACCGACAGACTGGTTGACACATACTTCTCTCAGCTGCCACAAAAGGGACTCCTACCTTAGTTAAAAGGTAACAACCTGGCCTTTGGAAGGCCCTTACAACTTTGAGATCTAGGAGTTAAGTGTTTGACTTCCTTTTCATGTCTATCAAAACTTATCTCCTTCCTAAACTACTTTCCCTGTTACAAAGTCAGATAGTCACGAGGGCGCCTGGGTGGATGTCGGCCGGTTAAGCGTCATGAGCTTAAGATTCGTGGGTTCAAGCCCTGCGTCGGGCTCTGTGCTGATGGCTCAGAACCCGCTTCAAATTCTGTGTCTCCCTCTCTCTCTGCCACTCCCCCACTCGCACTCTGTCTCTCAAATATAAAAACATTAAAAAAAATTAGAATAAAATAAAAAGAAATGAGAGAGTCATGTGATTGAAAGGATCTTCAATCACCAGCTATAACCAAGGCATGGCTAGTAGAAGTCCTTCACATGTTCAGAGGTGATGCACTCTACATCTGAGTAGACACAGTAATGGGCATGTCACTACCTTTGCTGCTATTCCCAGGCCTCTTGGTTGAGGCATGGCAGGTATGGAGCTAGGGCAGGGGTGGGACGTAGGAGTGATGGGGTCTAGACAGGGACAGCTGCTCTTGGTGGCTGTATGTAACATATCCTAAAGCTCAAACTATTCTTTTCTATTTCCCCCCCAAAGGTTCAGGGTCACACAAGAACCCCAGGGTGACCCTTACACAAATTTTGCTGACAAACACAAGCAGGCAGACCCCTATTTAATGAAACCAAGGAAACACCGAATTGGGAGGATGTAGGGGCACCCATGTGGCTCAGTCGGTTAAGCATCTGATTCTTGATCTTGGTTCAGGTCATGATCTCCTGGTTTGTGAGTTCAAGCCCTGCATCAGGCTCACGGCGCAGAGCCTGTTTGGGATTCTGTCTCTCCTTCTCTCTGCCCTTCCCCACTTGCACTCTCCTTCTCAAAATAAATACATAAACTTAAAAAAATTGAGAGGATGTATGCAGACTTATTAAATCTCCTGTGGAGGGGCGGAGAAGAAGCGTTGTTGGTAGAACCAGTGTCCTCAAAAAGAGATGGTTACGTCCTAACCCCCAGGACCTATGAATGTGATCTTATTTAGAAATAGGACCTTTGCAAGTGTTATCAAGTGAAGATGAGTCCAGACTGGATTAGGGTGGGCCCCAAATCCAATGACTGGTGTCTTTACTACAAAACCATGTGCCCATGGAGGAAGAGACTGGAGTGGTACAGCTGTGAGCAAGGAACTCCAAGGACTGCAGGGAAGGACCAGAAGCTAGGTAGGAAGGCATGGAGGGAAGCTTTTCTAGAATCTTAAAGAGAGCATGGCCCTGGCAAACACCTTGATTTTGGGCTTCTGTGCTCCAGAACTGTGAGAAAATGAATTTCTGTTGTTTTAAGGCACCAAGTTTGTGGTAATTTGTTATGGCAGCCCTAGGAAATGAATATGAGAAGCAAACTGTATTTAATCTCTTCACTTGGAACAAATGTTCCTACTCTCTGCTTGTAAACAATAACGAATGGAGGGTAGGGAGGACTGTAATGAGGGAGGTCTTGTTTCCTGTGTGACTCTTAGGCCCTCCATAACTTGGCTATGCAGTACTGCTATGATGCTTGTTTTGAAAAGCTGCACTTGTTTCGATGTGACAGATATACTAGGGAATAATCTAGGCACAATGTAAATCTTTTGTCTGTTTATGCATGATTTCTCTGAGAAACAGTGTACACCCAGAAAATGACACCCAAGTGAAGTGAGCTAAGTGGGAACAGCCAGCTCTGTGCATGTGGTATTGCTGCTTTCCCTAGTTTCAGATCACCCCACTCACAATCATTCAAGAGCTATAATCCTCTCACACCCCCTCCACAAGTAAGCTTCAATATCTTTCAAGGCAAAGTGCCATATTGTATTGTGGTCATTATGTGTTTCTTAACTATTTAACATATATAAAACTACTGTTTACATTAAATTAAGTTCATACCTGTTTTTTAGTGTGTCACCAACAGTTTTTAAATGTTATGCCACTAAGCCCATTTCCCCCCACAAGCCCTATGGTTTCTACTGCAAAATTTGGCAGTGTGGAAATCTTTAGGAACGCATATGTCACATTATTAGAGCAGACTACATACTCTACAGGCCCAAAGCCCTCTCTACTTCTACCCTAAAAGGACCTCAATGTGACCTGACTTAATGCCATTCTCCTCCATGTTACCCACTCTCTGTTCCAGCCGAGCTGGGCTCATGATTTATGTTGTAAAGAAAAACCTGCAAATGGGATAGCCTAAAGGTAAAACCAGCCAATGGATAACTTTTGCTTGATCTCCCAGAGTTTAAAATTATTTATTTTTTTTAATTTTTTACTGTTTTTTTGAATTTATTTTTGAGAGAGACAGAAATAGAATACGTGTGGGTTAGGGACAGAGAGAGGAGGAGACACAGAATCCGAAGCAGGCTCCAGGCTCTGAGCTGTCAGCACAGAGCCTGACGCGGGGCTCAAACTCACGAGCTGTGAGATCATGCCCTGTGGCAAAGTCGGCTGCTCAACTGACTGAGCCACCCAGGCGTTCCCCAGAGTTTAAAAATTTTAAAAAACTGGTTGCCAACACCTGAAGATAGAGTATTTACCATAAAAACTGGATTTATAGTTCTTGTGACAAGCTGGAAGCTGAGGCCATCCTGGACCTAAGTTCCCTGTGGTTATCAGCTGGCTGTGTGTGGCTGCCCCTTCAGATGGGTCATGGGTTCTCTGACTGGCCTTAATCTCCAACTTGACCACCTTTTCCACTGCCACCTGGTCCTGTAAACACCAGTTTGTGATCCTGAAATAGGGCTTTGCAGATAGAGCTGTGAATGGAATGCTCACTCTA